TCGGCACCAGTGACCGCTCCCGCTCAGCTGGGTGCCTGCCCGGCTCGGGCCGGGTGAGAGGAAGGACGGGAAGTTTGTCTTGAATATGAGGAAAAACTTTACTGTGTGGGTGGCCATGCTCTGACACAGGTAGCCCAGAGAGGGTGTGGAATCTCCCTCGCTGGAGATGCTCAAGAACCGTCTGGACACAGTCCTGTGCCATGCACGCTGGAATGACCATGCTGGAGAAGGGAGCTTGGGCCAGGTGACCCACTGTGGTCCCTTCCAACCTGACCCGTTCTGTGATTCTGTGAGAGGTCTTTGTCCCTTGGACAGGGTGTTAAAAGAGGTCACCCTTCTCCGTGCCCTGTGTGCGGTGAGAGTTTGTGAGTTTCGTTGGCTTGGCGGATCACAGCAATACCGCCACATGCAGCCACGTTACCCGACTGAAGCCAATTGGTGATTGGTACAATTAAAAAGATACAATGGAAAAGTACAATTCTTGTTTAGACACAACATTTTATTGAATCAAAGGCCTTAAGTATTGTGCTGAGGAGACATTGGAGCAGGCTGCCCAGAAAACTGTGGATGCCCCAACCCTGGAAGTGTTAAAGGCAATGTTGGACCGATACTGAAATCAGACAACAAAACTTTCTAACACAATTTTGAGTATCAGACAGCAGGCATTCTTTATTACAGTGCTGGACACATCAGAAGGCTTTCTGTGTTTATCTGATGCGTGTCCAGAAGGCAGAACAAGGTATTTATTCCATCATGATCATACATATTGATTACAGTGTAGTTCTGGCTGATACATAAACATCACTTATCACAGAACTAATTTGCATGCCGCTGCCTCCTACTCAAAGTCTTTTAATGTCCCTAGAGGGTTGTCTGAAGGGGTCTTTGGTGGTTGTACTCACCAAGTGCCCCCCACATTACAGATGACATCTCCTTGAACTTCTCTTAGGGCATGTGCTGTTGCTTCTTTTTACATAACTTGGCCCAAAAAGCCACTATAATCCTCATTATCTGTTTATCTACTGGTTCCAGCTACATTTATCATCCTGTGTGCACACTTTTACATTCTTTTACCATTTTTGTTAGTTGGTCTTTAAGCTCTATCCAGCAGCTTCAGGAGAACTGAAAATTTCTCTTCTCTGTGTTATCTATGAGGACAGGACTTTGAGCAACCTGGTGTAGTGGAAGGTGACTTGCCCCTGGCAGGGTGGGGTGGAAGCAGATAACAGTTAAGGTCTCTTCCAACCCAAACTGTTCTGTGATTCTGTGAGCTTCTATGATGTATGTATGAAGACACAAAGCTAGATCTAGCATGTTGGTTGATAGATCAACCATAAACCAGATCCAAGCTCCTCAGAATATTCCAGATGTTTGTGCTTAAATTCCCAGGGCAGCTCGTATACTTCTCACTTCCTAGCAATTTCTCCAAGACTCTAACATCGGTCCCATAATGAAGAGGACCATAATAAAGCTATACATGGCAAAATACTAATTTCTCAGCACAAGGAACGACTGTGTACAGGAGCATTGTCATGATTCAGCGTGTCTCACATGCATAATTTATCATGGTAACAGGAGAACAATACCACAGGTTGTTTTCGGGAGGAGGGATGGATCTGGCTTTACAATGAGGAATTGTTAAGAGTTAAATGTCATTCTCTGACTAAGAATATCAATGGAAGGGACAAGCCATACATTCTCAACTCCTGACCCGCCAACACATAAGGGAAAAATGCCTCCAGCAGCACTCTCCTGGAGTACAGCTCCTGCCTCCCAGTCCAGCTGCCTCTGTCCCTTTACTAAGAGTCACCAAGTGGTAGGAGAGTCCTGTGGTCCTCTTTCCTCCCCACCACGGGTTTGATTATCCAACACCCGATGATGATGTGCTAACAATCCATTGTGACAGGAGCTTGCAGGCGTGAATAATGAAATGGGTTCTGGAATTAAAGTTAAGAAGGATGGTACAGGTTCTTCAAGGTGAGAATTAGCAAAAATGACATCAGAAAAGGTCTGTTGAGGAGCAGTCAATAACTGAAGAATGATTGATTAGTATTGAGAGAAAACATGATCAGAAACTCAGTAAATAATACATTTGTGAGGACTAATAGCAAGTCATAAGATCATCAAACTAGGTAGTTCCCGTAACTAGTATGAACTATTTCTCTAACAGATGTCAGCACAGGAAAATAGCAATACTGTGTAATGGTACAAAGATCCCCCTGTGAATGAACTGAGTAGATGCTTTGTTGCAAATGATGATCCCCATGAGGCAGTGTCCCAAAGATTAGTAAAATAATAGGATTATGTTTCCTGCAAAGTTTGTTTGCTTGGGATGTTTGCAAAGCTTGCTCAAACTGCGCTGTAAAATCTGTAGTTGCATGGCATCTGAACAGCATCTGATTTAAAATGAAAGTTTGAACTTGCATAATTTGAATTTGAAAGTAGAGCCTTCCTGTTAGCTATGGCATCATATTAGGAGTACTTGGGACAGAAACAAAAAGGGCATGGAGGAACAGAAATAAACACGCTGAGATAAGGAACCGTTCAGTACATGTGGACAAGGGAGCAAGGAAAAAAGCCTTTGTGGTTGTTTAAAGCTTTTTAAACAACCACAATGTTCAGGGAAAGTGTGACAACAATCAGTGAAAAAGTGGCATCCCATTACACTGACCTGAGTGCACAGCTTTTGGTCACAGCTACACCACACCTGGCCCTCAGGGAACACTGGCAGAGCTGGCTTGGGGCTTTTGGAAAAGGTCATGTAGACAAACCCACACCAGGGCAATATGTGCTCTACTCGCTTTTGTCTGAAAACAGCTGGTGGTTTTGTCCAGTTTCTGATAGAAGATGACTTGTTGGGTTCTCCAGTGTTTCACTGGAATGAGTTAAACCAATGAAGAAAGAATGACAATGGTGACAAGCTGATGGCTGGAAATCAAGATGACTAGGTAGGAAACATCCAGAAGTTGAGGCTGCTTCTCTCTATCCCTTTCCAAATTCCAGAAGCATTTTGCCTTCTGTTCAGATATACACTTTGTGGCTGCAGTCTAGATTTTTGCCCTTTGCAATCTACATTCCTGTGATACACTCCACAAAAAGTTATCATTCAGAAACTTCAGCTGCAGAAAGAAATGGTTGCCAGCTGCACTGAAGAATTTCTCAATGGAGATCTCATAACTAGAAGTTCCTTGCACTTAGAATTTACTTGCTGGTTCTAATTTCCTCATTTTGTCCCTGGTTCAGTTTGTCTTTTTCTTGTATTTCTAGATTTTCTAGTCGTCACTTGGCCTTGCAAATTCAACAGATGTTATCTAGTGGAAGTCACTTGGCCTTGCAAATGCAACAGATGCAAATCTTCCCAGATTACCGCTAAACATCAGCATGTGCATTTCCTCCTCTTAAAACAGCCATATGACACTGAGCAGTCTCTTTCCAAAGTTTTTTTTACAGACTGAAAACCATGGGGCTTTGCAGTGTGCCAGCCCAGTTTAACCTTTATGTGGCAACAGTGAAGGAAGTGGGGAGGAGACTCAGTGCTCCATCTGTGTCATTAAAAAATGCTTTTGACACAGTAGTCATCCAAGACAGATCTGGCAGCTTTCTGGCCAGACTCTATTACAACACAAAGCAGTCACTGGGAGGATGTGTCCCAGAATATACAGCCTTTCCTGGTCCGTGTCCTTTTGAGTAATTGACATCTTCATATGTGGTTGGTTTTCAAAATCTGTAAAATATAAAATATGTTCACTGGAAGCAAGATGAATGCATTAGGAATTCACGGTTAGGCAAACGTAATATATTAACCTTTCCAGCAAGAGTGAAGTAGGTGAACTTTACATACTAAAACATCTGGCACAAGCAATGAATGAGCATAATCCCTCCCAAGTTCTTAAGGCTGAATTAGGAATTCATCTAGAATATAGCTTAGATCTGTAGGTTGCCTTTTGGAACTCCACAATCAAGAACCCATCAAGCTATACTTACTTGTTCTTTCAGTGAGGAGAGAGTGAGAAAAACTACCTGGTTCAGGTAATTTCCTCAGGATTTTCAACTTTCTGTTTTTTATATTTCAGTCACCTAAAATATACAGACACACACATATAACTTTTCTTCCAGATTGGAAGATGATTTCTTGGAAACCTTTTTTGTGTCCTATTATTTATGCTCTTTACCCAAGTAAAATATTTCTCCAGCACTTGGCAAATAACAACAGAGACTTTAACAACTGAGAAGAGATTTACTTGACCAGTTTCAGCTGGAAGCTCACCACAGATGAGGCTGGGTCCAGCACTCTGGAGTGGGCAGCTGCCAGGTAAAGTTTCCAGTTCTCCACACAACATATGTCCTCTGTAAACTATGGAATAAGATCACCTCTGCACACTTTCCTATTGGTTTCATGGTCAGGGAATACACTCTGCTTTTGTAAATTAACTCTGGGTTCATCCATTAGATTCCCTTTCAGGGGAAAGGAGCTTGCCTAAGGTGAGAGACAACATGCCAGTTCTGAACACCCAGTATTAGATAGAAACTGATGGAAATTATTGTGGTACTCACAACACCCTTTTTCTTCCAAAGGTATTTTTTAGTTTTCACTTTCATTGAAAATTCCACAAACACATGGAAACAGCCTAGATATACATGAACATATTGCAGTTAATGTCTCCTAACAATGCCCTATCCACTTGTTTTGTCAGACACTTACAGGTCCCATCTCTAATTCCCAATGCACCTTTGGAACCCTCTGTCTCTCCTAGGGATGAGCAGGATTCTAGCCCTGCCCATGTAGAGATGCTGTGGTTCAAAACCTAATGCCTTCCCCTTCCAAGTCCCTATGCTCCCTGGCAGTGCAGTGTCAATGCAAGTGGGGCGTCCCAGGGTAAGGAGCACAGACCAGCCCTGATGATTTAAGAATGCAACTGCAAGCTAATCTCTGATGAGTTAAACCCAGATATTCAACCAAATAATCAGGCCAACAGACCATATTCCTAAATTATCACAGGCCAGCTCCAAATCTGTCACATCCAGTTTCTTTTCTGACACATAAAAGGCCAGAAATATCTTTCTGCAGCAGCACAAGTAACCTCATTGGGTATTAAACTCATTTCAAGGAACTTGGGACTTGCCCAGCGGGGGCTACAGCTCCTGTTGATGAATCTCAGTAATTATAAAGCAGGGGGTATAGTTGTATCGTCCATGGGTCTGAAATCCAGTAATAATCGATTGCTTAGCTCCCTGCATGCCTGAGCACTTCCCTTGCCCTTCTCCATGATCCTTGTGAGTCCCTCCCAACTCAGCATATTCTGTGATTCCTTCTCTCATGAGGGTTTCCTACTCAGGTTCTTGTTAGCATTGTTGCTAGAACAAAATGAAGCACTGCCAACTCCTGGCAATATATGAACAGAACAGCGTTTCCTCAAGTCACCTGGCTCCACTGGGAGACTGTAATCTACCAGGATGAGATTGTGCCCTGACTTCTTTCCAGAAAAGGGACTTCCTGGTCTCCTATCTGAGGGAGGGTGGAGGAGGAAAACATTGCTTTAACAGTCAGGTTGTAGGTGAATGTACATGGAGAAGAAGCCCTGCATATCTTTTCACCTCCCTAGCATGAGCCTTCAGCTGCAAGGAGAATCAAAGATTAATTTAACAGAAAGGATCCCAGGTTCCAAAATGGGCTTCCATTCAGATTGGGAAAGAGTTTCCCCAAATTTAAAATACTTTTTAAAGAAAAGTATTGCGACATACCCCGGTTTTGATTAAAAACTATGCTTTCAATAAATATATTTTATTTGGATTTTGATATTTCATTTATTACTATGTTAAATAAATTATATACATGAAGCATTTGGAACTTTTTCCTCCGTAACAGCTAAAAGACACAAAATTACTAAAATGTTTGCTTCAAATTCACACTTTGCTGAAACGAAAAGAAAATAAAAGAAAAGATCCCCAAACCTCTTCAGACTGCAAAGGAAGATGGTCATTACCTCATTACTGGTATTCCTTGCTGACCTCACCTGTTTTTCAATAATGCCTTCACAGGCTGTGCCATTTTTTGCCCATAGAACTTTTATTGAATACCCATAATAAGGTACATTTTCTTCTCTTAGTCTTATTGAACATCAGAGGTTTGTTTTCCCTCTTGTTGACAGCAGATCACATTAAATTACTAAAAACAGCCCAGGACCAAAAACACATTAATTTTCACTTCTATTCTGAAAAGTAACCATATAATGGAGTTATGCAATCATATATTTCTTTTCCTAGTGATTTTAAGGTCAGATATTCTCAGATTAAAGATAAAGGGTATTTTTTAAAGTATTGTTCCATCTGTTAAGCTACTGCAACTTGGAATTTAAAGGTCATAATATTCCTTCCTGATCAATAGTACTCCTAATGAACACTTATTTTTGACCAGAAAGTCCCTTTCTTTCAACTTAGGCTTTCAGGGGCACCTATATGAATCACATAAAGGAATCAGTTGGGAGAAATAGGATCTCTCTCTTTCACTTCATTTTAAATATTGCCTATATTCAGAAATGGCCTACTTTGCACACAGGCATTACATTTGTGTGAGGGATTTGCATCAGTGTGACTAAATTGATTTTGCTGCATCATTGCACATTTGCCTAATGTCAACAAGGCCTTTACTGTTGGCTATGCTGAACTAACAAGAATAGAAAAGTAGCATCAAAAACTTTCTTTAAGGTTGTTTGGAGAGAGGATTCTGACTATACCTACAGGGAAAATAAGAAGGGTTGGTTTGCTTTCACATGTTGCTGTTTATAGACAGCTGGTTTTCAAAGAAGCAAAGCTTATTAGAAAATTCAGAGTCTATCAATTTAAGTTGAAGGAACATGCTACAAATTTCCCAGCAGAAAGATAAAACTAATCTTATCTTGTGTACTAGAATTTTTATTTGCAGTGATAACTAGCTAGTAAATAAAATATTCAGCTCTTCAAAAGCCTCTGAGTATTTTGAGTTTCTCTCTCATTGTGTCCCAAGTGTTGTCCCCGCAACTAAACCAAACCCACATTGGACGACAGGCACCAGGACCAGCGGGAGCCAAACCCACTCTCCTGTTTCATTACACAACTTCTCTGAGCAGCCCTGAATAGAGGGTACGACCACAAACAGAGGATAAACAAGTCACAATCCTGATTAAAAGTCACAGTGGATAGACACAGGACTGAGTTACTTGGAATAACACCTTCTGAGCCCTTCAACCATCTGTGTCTGGACAGACCTCAGGACTGCTGCACAGAAATGTCAAGACTTTAACCTGACCTCTCAGCCATGAAAGTCTTCTTTGCCATAGGAGACATGGCAATATGACTCATTTCAGCCCCAAGACATAAGAGATGAAATATCCCAAGCTTCTCTCCAATTTGTTCATTCTGCCGTCACTATTTTTGGTATTAGTTCTTAGGGAATTACACGATAATGGAACTATTCATGGTATTAATTCTTAGGGTATTATAATGAAATTTAAAGGAGTAGATTATATATGTATATATAAAAGAACTTTGGATAGATAATATCTAAACCTCACAGATTTTGCTCTGGGTTACCTCAAGACATTTAGACATTTATGGATCTAGCCAAATGCTGAACATCTAAGAGCATTTCCTTTTTAAAAATCTTACTGTTTTGGGTAATATCTGGGGGAGATAGGTAAGGTTCATTTTGCCTTTGCTTTTTCACATGCAATTTCCAGCTGTACAGAAATTCCTTCCTGGGGTTATGACGTGATATACAACCCTTTTGGCAGCAGTGCCAGGGATGAAGTGGTGCCACGTCAGCTGCTCAAACATTCAGTCATGCCCTGAACACAGCACTGCTGTGTGTTCCAGTTTTTTGCTGGGGGAGGGGGTTATCCTGCTTTGGTTGGCTGCAGGAAAGAGAATCTTCAAAAATCAATGACTGTGCCAGGGGCAGCTCTAAAATGCCCCATCACAAGAGAGTAATGCAGCATTGATGGTACCAGGATGCCCAGCTCCTCAGTCATGCTCTCTTCTGAATTAAAATAAAGGGGTGATTCTTAACTGCATTTATGATCAGAAATTGAAGGTGTTAGGGCTGATGCCAGCTTTTATATCTGTTGACTCATTTTTTAAAAAAATTCTAGTATTAATAGAGGAGTCAAAATGAGGCTTCAATGAACTATGAGCCTTTAGAAGTTCTGGTTAGGAAGGATAAACAGCCATATATCAGGCATATTTTAGTTAGATTTCCTATGAAATCATGAAGGTGCTGATAGACTTCTTAGAAATATTTCTACCAAACATTGTCATATTCTGCTCCTCTTAGATTACAAACTTATTACATATTTTTGCTCATGTTTGGAGCAGTCAGCACTGTGTAGCCATACCATACTCTGACAAAACCTGTTCCTTCACTCATGTGTATTTCCATCCCAAATCAAACACGAGAAAAGCAAGCAGAGTTTGACCCTAAATTGGAGAGCTTTGCCAAAAGAAGATATGTATTACAGTCACAGGAACCTGACCTCCAGATCTGTGGAGCTGCATATTTATGATTTTCCAGTGCTTGAACAGATTTTAAAATAAGCCAGTCTGTAAATACAAGGGTAAATCTAACTGCAGCATTACAAAGTTGTGCAATGCAGCACTCCAGATTTGTTTTCCTCATAAATCTATAGAACTGTGGGCAGTATGTAAGTAAATAACTGCCTAATTTATTTCTTGTACTTCTATTCAAACAAGTCATACCTCAAAGGAATATTTTAGTAATATGGCTAAAGTATAATGAATTTTAATATATTTTTGAGGGTATAATTTGACATTTCAGGATATAGGATCAAGGATTATGGCTCATGCATCAGGGACATATTCTGGACTTAAACACAACTGGATTGAGTTTATAGATATGCACACACACACATGTATATAACAGACATATCTATATTTTATATATATACACATGTATCAATCACATGCTTCCCTGGGGAAAACAGTCTATAGCTCTGTTTGCATTTGCACAGAAATTGCATTTTCCTGTCCCATGGGCCTGTTGTGAGTGACCTCAAATACTGAGATATCTCACATATTGTTGTAATTGGAAATAGTATTAAATGTGCAGCAGACAGATATCCTAAATGTTAAAATGAAGTTGGAACTCGGAAGTGATTTCTAATTTGCCATTATCATCATCTAGTAGAAGATTAAAATAAGGAGAATACTGCAATTTTTTTTCTTGGTCTCAAGTAATAACTGGATGTATTTTTGCCCTGGGAGACAGCTCACAGCTAATGACATAACTTTCATTTCAGATATTGACCAAAGCAAAATTTTCCCAAGTTATTATTCTTACAGAGATTATACTGCATTATGAAGAACATGGCAAGGATACTTAAAATTCAGATTCTCAGAAAATATGGTTCAGCATAACTCCACCAGTGTAGCTAGAACTAGACCAAGTTGGAGTTCCTGACAGTCTGTCACAGTGTTCCTACCCACAGTTTCACAGTTACTGAAACCTTAGTTCACCGTTACAAAATACATAATTTTATTTCTTAGTTTCTGCTTGATTAATTACATGTGAGTGACAAACCAAGAAGAATTAATGTAAAACCAGATCTGAATAGCAGCAGTATCAAACAATGAACATGTCAACTCTTTTTTTTCCTAGGAAAAAATTGAATAACCAAAATAGGAGTGGTAAAAGCAACATACATTAGCTTAACACTCCCCACCATTTTCTGATAAAAGGAGGTAGCTGTGATAAAACTACATAACAGCATAATCAGTTGTCCACTGATTTGTAAAATATAAGATAGAATTTGCTTTAAATTATTTATAGTGATCCAATAGATCAGTGCAGATTTTTTTCCATTCTGTAGTTTTCTACAGTTGTGCCCTGATATGAATGCTAAGTAGCTCAAGTTAATGATTCCTGCTCTTGCCACTGGAATGATGCCAGTCCAATACCTTTCAAATTTCAGGTGCATTTGTTAATCTGTTCCTTTCATTTTCCTACCTCATTTTTCTTATGTACATTCTTTTGTATAACAAATGAAAAAAAACAATTATATATTATCATTATCAGTATCTATTTCCAGTGTCTGCAGAGAGTAGGAGCCTTCACCCTCTGATATGTTTTTCCTGAGTGCATTTACTGTTAATATTCCATTTCAGTCTTTCCATTCCTTTACTCACACTTTGCCACACTTCACTGCCTCCTTCCCAATGTTGCTGCATTCTTGTTGCAGCCTCTAAGATTTCCCCCCAGTTTTGTGCTAGCTCGGTGCTGACTGCTATGTAGCAATCACATCCCAATTGCATTTTGGGCTGTGTCAGATCAGAGTCACACAGGAGTCATGTCAGATATACCACACTCTTCTTATATAGTTACCTCAGTAGCTGAGGCACAGAGCTATATTAAGAAAAATGCCTAAGGACTTGTAGAGGAAGTACAGGGAGCTGAAGAAAACCAATGTTTCAAATAAAAGAGAAGGGTTTCTTCCATTTAACAAGGTAGTGGAAAAAAGAAACTGTGTTAGTGATATTGCAAGCCACTGAAAATTGAGTGATTCAGACTTAGAAGCAACCAACAATCCTCTCATATCTACCTTGGTGAAAGCAGAATTTCACTCTTTCCCTCTTCAGGTCCTGTGGCATCACCAGCTTGGCAGAGGGTGGAAATACAATCAGGCAGTGCAGGGAAATGAGGCAGATGTGCACCCATGATTTGGGGTCCATAAGAGCTGGTGCACTGGGATGAGGAGTGCTGAGAGCTTTCTGTGATCTTCTCAGCCAGGGCCGGTGCTCTGTGCTGGGTTAAAAGTCCTTCCTCTTGGGTTGCACAAGGAGCATGGCTTAGCTCAAAGGGGAGAAGAGGAAAAGAAAATAATAGCCCAGGTAGAAATGCTCCATCTCTTTGCCCAGACTAGGAGCCTGGAGATGAAAAAGGCTGCACACATTTCAAGCAGATTTCTCTGAAACAGGGAAAGAACCTCCTTTGTGGCTTACTTACAGTAATAGGCTGCTTTTCATGGACTGTAATGTTTCACACAAAAGGGAGGAGGAGAAAAAAAAAAAGAGGAAAATCCTTTTTTGGCCAACCCCTAATTCTTTTCCAATGGACTTAACATTTTGAAGTGGAAAGAGATATCCCTGGCTAGCCTTCCGTAGGCTGAACATGGAAATAAATATAAATTTCCTGTAATAATTTGTTCCAGCATGTCTTTAAACAACTGATTGCTCTGTTTGACAATAAGTAGATATAAATATTAAAAATGAACCAGAGACAAAATAAAATCTGCACATGATTGTATAGCAAGAGGGAAGAGAAAATCCTGTTGATTGAACAATATGGAATATAAAGAGAATAGATATTTCCATAATTTTCTTATTTGCAGTCACATGGAGAAATCTTTGTAAATACAGAAGATTCCCTGTCTTTTAGACTTTGCTCCAGAGCTTGTCAATACAGAACAGTTTCCCAAATACCAAGTAAAAATAAATTTGGGGGAAAAAAATTACTTCATGGTATCCACTCAAGAATTTTGCACAATAAAATGACAGTAGATTGCCATCCCCTTACATAAATATGTAAACCATGCCCAGGAAAAAGTGTTGGTAAACATAGTAGTTAACACAACATCTATTGTTCTGATATTCACTGAGCATCCCATAGAAATTAGATTTATTTCTACACAATCATCACCATTTCTTTTTCCATTCAGCCCTACTAACTGGAATGTTAGGGTGGGAGTTGATTCTGCAGCTTTGGCAGTGAATTGGTTTGTATCCAAACATAAAATGAGTTGTCTTGCAGAATGATAGAAGGGGATTTAACTTTGCTGAGTCAAATTTCAGTAAAGCAAACAGACCCAGAGGGTCAAATGAATTAAAGGTCCTGTGTCACTGGAACAAAACTATATTGCTAAACAAGTTTTGGATAGCGTTAGAAGTTTCAAATGCTCATTTGTTCCTGTGGCAATATGGATCACAGGAAATCTTTTAAACCCTTTGTTAAACGTAAAAAAATGTAAGGGAAAAAAGAAGAATAAAAATATTTAGAATGCAGAAAAGTCAGGCTTTAATTTTAAAACTCCAATTTGCATTCACGGTTTAAAGTCTGTGTGAGAAAAACACCATTGTTTAACAGGCTTAGATATAGCAAGAAAGACAAAGTATTGGGTTTTCTATTTGAGAGAAGAGAGATATTCAGTTCACAGAGATGGGCTGGAAATTCTACTGGAGCTGTTGACAGAGCCCAGTCCTTCCCTGGAGAGGCAGGGCCGTATGGGAGAGGGACAAAGACAGCCCAAGAGCTGCAGGGGAAGGGAACTCAGGCTTTCTCTGGTGTTGGCACTGAATAGCAAATTCATTGCTGGAGAATTTCAGGACAGCGTATTGTCTGTTGGTCACACGGAAACATGGAATTGCAGCAATGCCCTGCTGTCTCTAACACAGCTTTTTGGATGTTTGTTAACAGCATCACAGCAGCTCTCCAAAAGACAGCTTTAGTATCTCAAGCAGATTTTTCTCAAACAGAAATCGAAGGGAAACACATGTGAAAAAGGAAAAAACAGGGGAGGGAAGGAATACAAACCAGGCTGTTGTGTATCTGCTGCCTACCTATCTTTCTGCAGTTTGGGTCAAAGTAAGCATCCTTGCAGCTCAAGATTTGGGTCACCAGGGAGGCAGAATAGCCCACCACTCGGGATTTTGGTCGTTAGCAAAGTTTACTGTATCAATTTTGCCCCTGTGATGGTGACAAAAAATAGTTGGGTCTTGGAGTGTGTCCTCAACACACACCAACCCCCTCTCCCATGCAATCTTGGAATATGATCTGTCCTAAGATAAGAACACCAGGTGGGAATTGCAGGAGGAAGTGTCTGGATGCTTGCATAATTAATGCATTCCCGAGGTGGGGGAGTGATGATGGCTGTGACTGATCTTGGTACACGCGGGCCTGCAAAGGGCACAGAATGCTCCTGGAGCCTGGGCCAAATGGCCAAGTGACCTCCAAGGCTGCAGGGCAGCTTCCAGGTAGATCCCATCCCTGCAGGGCACATCCAGCCCGAGGATGGGAACACTCAGGTTTGGACAGGGGAGTAACAAGTAGGGATAAAATCCTCATGTAGCTCCATGGGTGCTTTGCTGCTTTGCAGTTGGGCTTTCTGCAAACCTGCATGATTCCAGCTGGCCCTGTCTCTGTTACAGCCTTTCAGATCTGCTTATATTACACACTGCATTGGCAACATTTAGATACTGTGTTAACAATAAATCCCATCACAATCTCCCACATAATCAGTGCCATACTTACACCTGACTGAAAGTCTTCTCTCTACTACTCTGCTAGACTACTACTGAGTCTAGTCCCACTTTTTTTATCCTTACTGGACATGACTTCAGAATAGTCCTTGGGGCTTTTCACTGGATCTTGTTTTCTTGAAGAAGCTGTCATTTTATGTTTAATTTTCACTGATCTTTGCAAATTGTTTTATGTAACAGTCAGAGCTGCACACTGGTCACCTTGAACTACTTAGAGCATAGGCCTTGGCACAACACTATCTAATTTTTCTTGTTTGCAAGGACATTCCTTATCTTCTCTAAGGAATAAAAGTCTGTATAGTGGTCACTAAAGATATTAGAATGCTTTTTATAAGATGAAAAGCATTAATACTGTTGTCCTGTCTAAACAATATGAAATGGTATCATTCAGGACTTTTTACTTGACACACATTCTCAAGGGGAGCTCGTGTAAAACAACTCAGACATCTCTGACGTGTCTGACAGGCTGTAGGGGAAAATGTGCTGTGGTTAAAAATTCTGGTGACTTCTGTGACAAAACCTACATCTTGCAAGTTTGGTGTAAGGACTTAAAAGCTGATAGAAGACAGCTTTTGTGTCAATGACAGGTATATGAGAAGTCATAGTGCATGTTTAGTAAAGATGACTTTGATTTCAACAGAGCACTTTCCTAAGAGGCCCCATTTGCTATGGATGGACATGAGCTGTAAGAGTTTAGTCAACAAAAGAAAAACAGGGATCTGCCTTCCTTGGGTCCCAGCAGCACAGACCAAGAGAACAGAGTTATTCAAATGCACTGTGAAGAGTTTCTCAGACAGAGATACTGGATACCAATCCTATTCTAGATGAGAACTGGGATCATAAGAAGGAATTGGGGAGTTAGGGCAGTCCAGCCAAGTAGATTGGAAGCAAAGAGTGTCATACTGGGGAGTGAGCAAAGAGCTAATCAGACTGGGAGATCAGGAGCTGGGATCCACTGTGGCTTCCTGTAGGAGAAGATGAGGTCTGGGATGAAGTGGGGAAAGAAAAAGGGCAAGGATGGTGAGAGGCTGGAGGAGACACTGTAGCTTACCTTATATCTGGAATGCACATCCATCCAATTGCCATCCCAGCCAGCAAGCAAATCCTCAGTTCATGTTTCTCACCAGTGCCCATCAGCAATCTTCTTCTTAGAGGGCTTTACTCAGAGGATGACAACCTGTGACTGGCAGTGGCACTCCATTAATTCAAGTAGCAGAAATCTGTGCTGATGCTGCAGTTGTTCATCTGCTGAAGAGAACAAGGAACCAGGATAAAATTAATCTCTTTCCAGCTTGTTTTAATTTTTTTTTCTGCTTAAGAAAACAAATAAAGAATTTGTTAAAGAACATTACTGAGATTGCTAAGTAAAGCAATTGAAATAGAAAAGAGAAGAATTAAATAAATTATGTTTATTCTGCTTAATTAATTTCTCCTAATGTGATATTAAGAGCTTATCTCCCCTGCTTATCCCATTTTGGTCTGATAACTAATTAGCCCAAACTCATTTAGAGCAGAGAATATGCTAATACAGCATAAATATTTCTTCCAGTATGTGTTTTTTCATGTATTTGCTGTACAGGCTTATTTTGCCCTTTCTGTTACTACAGTGGAAAAACAAGAATGCAACTATGCAGTCACCCTGATTTATCTGTTTTGGACATTGTGCCTGCTGCCCTGGCATTTAATCTCAGTTATTTCTAGACGGTGCAGTCTGGTCACAGACTCTTTCCACCTCTGTGTGAGATCTAGAATATTTTGGAAGTGACTTATGTAACAATAATGCCATGGCAATTTCCTCAAATATCTCCAAAATATAAAAGACCCTTTGCTCACTCAGAGGAGTAGTTTATTACTGCATAAGAGGAAAATGGAAATCTAATCATATTTTTCAAAGGAAAATAGGGGCCCATATTTGTGTCTTGGCTTGCATTCCCTCTCTCTTTGAAAGAAGCCTCAATGTTCCATCTTACATGAGCTGTGGCTGAACCAGCCAGATCAGCCTAGAGAAACAAGGACTCCTATCAAAACTTATTGTTTTCAGGGACAAAATTAATCCAGTATTAATCCAAGAAAACTACTGAAATGGTTGAAGATTCTTAGCTGTTCCCAGTGCTTGTGGCTGCTCTACCCAACCGATACCCTGCACAAGGGCAGAGCTGCAGCTGGAACCCAAAGAGAAACCATTTATTGGCAGATTACAATAAAAGATGGACATTACTCTCTGTGGCAGGGGCTCTCAGCGTGGCAGGGCCTGTCATGGCCATAGGGCCAAAGCACTGGAGGAGGTGAGGCAGGGCAGGGCAGGCAAGAATGCCACTTGCTTAATTTTGTCCCCAGTTAGTGCTGGGAGCTTGTCTGCACTTCTTGTCACTGCCTGGCCTGTTAGGGAATTAACTCAACCTCATTTACATCAGAGAATATTCTAACACAGTCTATGTCTTTCAGTCTATAATTGAATGCTCTAATTATATAACAAATTTGGATGTCACAATGTAGATTTGCTTCATCACAGCCGTGTTCTGGGACCCATGACCTTCATCTTGATGCTCCCACTGCACAAAGGTGGGTTACTAAAGCACACGGTGTCACCTGAGGAACAACATGTTGTATGAGCACATGCAATGTGCCCTTCACTTACTGGTGACACCAGTGTGAGCTATGGTTTTTGTCCCCTTGCTGCTGCCAGCTCTGCAAGCAGCAGGTGATCCAGGCAGTGATATTTCAGTCAAGGTTTGCATTCCAGAAAAGAAGCCTGTTCTTTGATGCACCCCTATTCAGAAAAGTGTGTAAACACACACAAAACCTCTTTTTAAGTAGATGCTTAAAAAAGGGCACACATTTAAGACTCCCTCCTGAATAAAGTTCTTTGCTTCAACCACTAAATACATATGGATCTTGAGGGACAAACTCCCAACATTTTAAACACACACACACTCACACACATATCTGTACTTAGTTATTTAACTTGGAGAACAAGAACAACCTCATTTTGGAAATGAGGTTAAGCCTCTGTGAAAGTAATGAAAAAATTCTCATTATGAAGACATGCAAGAAACACTTATGCTCCTTTATGGAGGTAGGTATCTAAAATAACAGCAGTCTGCACTCAAAACACAGACACAGGCTGCTGCTCAGGACACAGGAATATATATAGCTCAAGAAGGTGGAAAAATTTCACCAGCTACCATTGAGGAATCTGGGCTATGTGTGGGCTTGATATTATGAGAAATCTAGAAGAAAGCTGGGAACAGACTGTAGAGATTTACTTTTCTAAAGAAGATTTAGTGCTTTTGTGCCAAAACTTGGCTAAATAAGTGACTGGGAATTGTAGCAGAAACAATATATCCTGAATGTATTCCCTAATGTGCCCCCTTATTTCTACAAGGTATCACCTCAAAAAGCACACTCAAACTTAGTTCCTATGTCCTAAGTTCAAACTTAATATGCAAAAACAACTTGGTAGATAATGCAAATAAAAAAAGGACTACTTATTTTACAGTTACTACTAACCTTGCAGATCAACACCAGATTGCACACCAAATATTTATGGTTAAACAGCAGAACTGTCTCTAGTACAACACAGTTTGATTAAAGATCTTTCATTCAGTTTAGGTAATGAAAATAAACCATCATTGCTAATGACACCAGTAGACTCTAGATACCTTTGAATATACATGAAAAGCAAATCCCCTTTAATCAGGGATCAAGTGATTTCCACTGGCATGACTACCTGAGTCCCACACTTGCCAAATCTTCTTGACGTGGACTTGGTCCCCAGTCCACCACAGCTGCAGCAATTACACAGTGATGCCTCAGCAAGAGGGTTTCCCTGTTTAAATAAATTTATTTCCCTGTTTAAATAAGTTTAGTTTAAATAAGCTATTGCCTTACTTCAGCTCCTTGCAGTACTTGGTGCAGTGCTTTTTCCTGGCCAGCAGCTACCCTTTGCATCTCTGGAACAAGAGCATTATTTTCCTCCTCTTTGGTAAGGTTCACAACTATTACCTCCAGTGGCAAGCTAGTTAATGCAAGTTTTGCTTTGCAGAGCAGACAAAGCACTTATGGAGAATATATTGGATCCTCTTTACAGCCCCAAGATTATTCTTGCTGTGGAAGGTAGCATCTTCCATTTCTTATGATCTTGTTGTTTCTAGCACACACAGTTGGGATTGATCACCACCATTCCTGTCAGGTGTGTCTTCTTCACACACACTGGGTCATCTCTGGGGGAATTCTTGGGGGCTGCCACTCAGAGGATGCACAACAATTAAATCCTGTGCTCCCTGCTGACTGTGGTGGAAGGAGAGGTGGTGGTGGGCAGTTCAGCTCTGGGCTGGGACAGAGACCAACATTCAGACTTTTTCATAGACTCTTTCTTTTTCTCAAGGCATCTGATTTTCCTAGCATCTTTGATGTCTCTGTTTTCCAGGATCTATTTTAGCATTAAAATTATATGTAAATAATAATTCTGAAAAGTTGGGGTTGTTTTTTCATCTGGAACTGAATATCTTGAATTTCCATATGCTGAAATGAGTGGTGGAAGACTCTCCTATTTTTACTGTCAGTTCTTTCCTAATTAGTCAGAAGTGGGATATGGACAGGACTTGCAAGCTCTGCTTTCCCAGAATTTGTGTTTTCTAGCATGACTTTGATGCTTGGTTTTAAGCTTTCAGGGATGTTTTCTTTGATAACTGATTTTGAATCCTGTCTGGCTTACTTCTTTTGCTAGGTTATGTATTTTCACAGGTTTTTTCAGGTCTATGGCTCAGTAACACAGTGCTACTAGCACAATTTATGCTTCCAAGATATGTGCAATCTGCACATAACCACAGAATGCTGCTGCTCATGTTGCCCACGCAGCAGCTATGTAAGTTAATCCTAAGCAGCCTCAGAAAGCAAGTGTAGCCTTGCTTCACACCAAAACTAAAAAGTTCAAAGTGAACCAGCCTCTTACTCAGATGGACTCCCAGATGCAGCCATCCACCCCTCTCTGCACAGCTGTGATGACAGAGTGAGAGCTGAGTGCTGAAGTTCCACCAGGCATTCCTGAGGCCCATGTCAAGCAACCTGAAAAAATAATCAATGAAGGTGGTGATGAGCAAAGGATGTCATTGCAAGTGTTCTTTCAGGATGTTCCTTTGCATGAATATCTAGTTTTCTGGGCCTGAGTCCAGAGGTTGTTCTCCTCCAATTCTGTGTCATCTTGCATGATATTCCACTGCAAATGACCTCCCCTATAGCATAGGGCAGAGAGACACTTTTCCAGTCTCACATTTTAATATTTTATCAACTGCATGTTTTCTCTTGTAAAAATTTGGCATTTTTTCCTAGGTTTTTTTTCAATAACTTCTAAAATTTTACTTCTGCAATGACACAATGGTCTCTTAGCATTTCTTCTACAACCAAAATGTCTTTCAATGCATTTTTGCTGCTACCTACTGGACTACTTGCTTTTTTGATGTCATCACCGCACCAACGGCAATCTCTTTCTAAAGAGATTCACATCATCTCATGTTACAGAATCTCATGTCAAAGTAGGGCTAACTTTCTGCTGCTGACTTCTTTAAAATGCTTTGCTGGTCCATATTATATCTATTGTACATATTTCCCTATCTTTGCTTTTGATCAGTCCACTTCCTGTTTAAACTACCCACACAGGATTTTTGTAACTTGGTAAACAAGATCTGTGGTTTCCTACCAGGGCAGGAGTTTCAATTTCAATTTTAGGTATTTGATACATCTCTGTTCATCTTTCCTTTGCATCTTTACAAAGGACATTATTTGATTTGTTTACTCTCACATTCCTTCCTGTAATTGCACACTTTTCATTGTCTCAGCAATGTGGAAGATCAGAGAACTAGAGGAGATGAGCTAGGTAGCACCACAGACCTTGTGGCCCTGGCACAGTGGAAGCCATGGGAGAGATAAACTCAAGGCAAGAACAAAAGTGAGCATATCATGTCTGGTCACTCTGACCTCTGACAAGAGGAGGTGTAACAAGAACATTGCTGGCGCAAAAGAATGTAACAGGGACTTGATCACTGAAGGGATAGTGTTGCTAAGGGAACAGAGGCAAAGGGGTCCCAGTGGAACGTTTTGCATTGATATTAGAGGACTATAAATACTGGAGATTAATATAATAAACTGGCTTTGCTTGCACAGCATGGTCTGTGTCCCTTCAATCATCATACAGCACTACAGAATTTTTATTTCTGAGTTTTTGTTTTCTTTATGATGCACCCTTTTTGGGCTTACCTGATTCATTCTGCACATCCTTCCCAGACTCTTCTGCTTGGCATTACAAAGACCATCACTGATACCATCAGTTATATAGAACATCTGACCCTGCAGGGTATTTGTGTCAGTATCTATTTCTGAGTCTTTTTGCCATCTGGCAAGACCCACACGTTTAAGCCAGCAAGGTGCTTAAAAATACGTCAAACAACAAGAACAGATCAGTCTGTCTCCCACCATATTGGTAGATCTTTCACACTCAAACTATTTTAACACAAGGCCTAGGTAGGCTCTGTGACCCCAAGGCTGCTTGACTAAAATAAGAAGGTTGCTAACCTATAAGTGACAATACAAGAACTTAGGCCAAGCAAGATATGTAAAAAAAAAGCTGAAACAAGAATGGAAGTGAAATTGTTGAGCTGGCAGCAGTCACTTGCGGACTCATGGAAAAATTAACAACTGAAATAACTCTAAAACTCTGAGAAAAAAAATAAAAATAGAATATAGCAACTCAGCAAAACTGAGGATCATCCTATTGCAAGGAGCAATGGAGTCTGGCACTTTTCTGTGTGATTGCCATCTGCCTGACCAGCAGAAATCCAGTGGTTACCTGCATCAGAGGTGGTGAGGGTATTAATGCTTAGGCTAATAGCACATTACTCACAGCCATTTATTGTGTGTACAATCCAACAAATAGCATAATTGCTCCATACTCATAAATTGTGTTTGTGATCTTGCTTTTGAGCCTCCATGCAGAAGAAAAGACACCCATAAAAAAGTGAGCAAAAATGCTGAGAGGGTTATACTACACCATTGCTCTATTTCTTGATTGCTGTATTCGTCTTTGTTATGAAAACAAATAGGCTGAGTTTTGGTATTTCTTAATTCCTACTATGAAGGCCATTTTTGGAAGGCCATTCTTGTGTTTTTCTCCACATTTCTCTGTCATAGCCAACATTGTGCAACCTTTGTTTTGGCATATGGGGTGCCATGCATTGCTCAGATCACCTGTTTGGTTGGCACACTTCCTTCTTCTCCATCCTGGCTGCCAGATGACACTCTGCCTTCCTGGAGTGACTCAGCCTGCAAGCTGGTGGCTCACCTGTCACTGTCCCTGTCATCCACACGTGGATATGTGTCAAGGCAGGATGTGGGTGGAGATGGAAGCACAGCCCAATTACAGAATGAAGAATGCAGGTGGGAATGCATGAAATTAATAGTGGTTGAGCAGGAACTCTGGCTTTCTTCCTAAAATCTTAAAGTCTGTTTACCTCTTAAGATGACTTCCAGCAGAGCAAAGAATTGGGCTGGTCCTGCAATGTAGGAATTTGGTGTTCATACGTATATAATAGATTCAGGCAATATTCTCTGTCATCCATTAGCTGAAGAAGCTAGACACTAAAGCGGGAAAGAAGCAAAAAAAAAAAATAGCTAGGAACAAATGTAAATAAAAGTTATTTTTTGAAGTTGAAATAAGTTGTTGTTTTACTTCAGCTAAACAAGATTTTAAAAAGAAAAATTAAAAAGTGGTGGGAGCATCAAGGTTTAGGGAAAATGCTGAAGAAGATGGAGGGATGAGAAAAACTTATAGAAGCTTATAGAAGCTCCTTGCTGTCCTGTAGCAAGCTCAGCTGTAATTCTACAGGCTCATCAAGGAGACAGTTGTCTTGGCTTTGGGGAAGGAAGGAAGGGTGAGTCTGCTGTCCTGTACATTTTTGCTGTGTGAGCAGCCCTCAGTGACTGGCCAACACCTGATGATCTGCCCAGCAACACGACCCCGGCAGCCTGCCAGCACGTGGTGACTGAGCCCAGCAGCAGCACTGAAAACTTTCCTTCTCCATTGGTGAATGGATCAGCACAGATGTGTGACCTCACCAGGCTTAATGCAGTCAACAAAATACTTCTGGTGCACACACAGTTGTTTATCAAGCCATGCAAACCTGCAGTGCTGCTGCCACCTCAAAGCAGCAGAGTTAATTTTAACACACCCTGATCTTTCCTGGAAATCAAGGGAAATCAAGTTCGAACTGAAATTTGGGCATAAGGGTAAATGTCTGCCAAACCACGGCCTGTGTACATGACCTGATGCCTGGTTTCTATTTTCTGATTTACAAATCCTTCAGTTGTGAAACTACCCAAACTCTCTTGCAACATGAGTAGGACCTTTGCTTCCTCAGATGTAATAGCATATATATGGCAAAGAAATTGTATGAGTTGTGAATAGGTGACTTCATATAACTTTCAGGGCCAAAAAAGATGACTTTTCCATGCTCACAATTAACCTTACCCTCCTCAATTCCCCTCATTAATTGTTGCTGCAAATGAGCAGCTTCCTAGAGAAGAACAAGACCCAAATTTCTGTTGAAGCTGAAGGAATGGGGACGGCAGGCAACTTCTCCAGCCTGAGAGCTGTATTGATACCAAACAGCTTACACTGATCCGCTGATCACAAAGCCCACAGGTAGTCCAGACAACCTGTCCTTTTTCCTACAAAACTGGCTGGAGCTGGAGAAGGAGCTGGGACAGCTAGGAGGATGATGTAGACACAAGTCATGAACCCAAGGAAACCACATTCCCAGGTTTTAATACTGCACTACAAATATATCTGTTAACTACCACCTGATGGGAGCATATCAAACCAATATTTAAGAAAAAATAATTCAATCACTCACCAAGCAAGTGAATCCTCTTGACAACATATGTGAGGGTTTTGAACACATCTTGAAGGAAGTAATTATTGATAGGTGGCTAAATGGGAGAAGAGATTAAAATGCATTGATGACTTGAAAAAAATAGATCATGCTACAAATCATTTTCTTCAATAAAAATGGAGATAAACATGCTTTCAAGATACTGGAAAAAATAACCTTTGGTATAAATCAAGCCCTAATGAAAGTGTTAAATGATGTTTATATAATTATGTCACATTTGACATGGTGTGTGCTCAATACACACTATGGTGATAGGTAGTGTCATTTAGGAATGCATAACATAGATAATCAGCAAAAATAGATCAGTAAGCAGGGCTGACCATTATCCCTCTTCCTGCTTACACTCTCAGGTCTATCAAACACAATGTTGGACTACGATAAGATTTATAGCTAGATTTCTTAGCTAAATTGTGATTGAAGTGTGTGATATATACAAAGGCTCATGTGATGGGACTCCATAAACCTGTGAAAAATATGGGCCCAATGAAGCTGAGGAGAGAGAGAACACCTGAGAAATTAGGATACAGCCCCAGGAAATGGGTGAAAGATATACAAAGGAAGAGGAGAAGGTTCCTTGTAAAGGAACTGGAAAGGGAATTCAAACACAAGAAAAATGGGGTGATGCAGGCCTGAGAGGATCCTCTGCAGCAAGGATATTACATCTGACTCAAGTGCTCCAGTGTATTATCACCACTGCCCTGGTTATTAGCATGGGAGCTCAAAGTGAATTGTCACTAAACCAAACCAAACCTACACTCAGCTGCTGTCTTCTGTGTAAGAGGGAGGGGGTGTTACATCCTTTGGTAGGAACAACATGACTTGTGGTTTGCACAGTATACCCCAAGTTCAGACAGATGGAGTAAAAACTGAAAACAAAGCCCTTTCAGCCCTAAGAGATTCAGTGCAGGAACATAAATTTACCCATTTTTCTGGACAGCTGTTCCCAGACTTCCTCCTCCTACATCCTTTACGAAACGTCCAAAATGCCAGAAACTGTGACACAGATTCAGTGCATTGTATTCCTTCTTCTGAACAAAGCTCTCCCATCTGATTTCCTGATTTTGTAGGTGATAACTTAATGACTGCCACTGATACTTCCTGGGATTACATGGTTGGGTTTTTCCACAATGCTTCTATCAACTCATGCCCTTCTTCTGAGGAAAAAAAAGTTCTAGATTTAGGTTAAACCATCCTGATACAAATGAACAGTTACCCCCAGCACGGCTCTGTGAATTGAATAGGCTGAATTGAGACGTGTTTTCTTCATGAAAGGTATCACTGCAGTAAGAAAAGCCCACTGATCTCTTAGGAAGAATTAATTAGACAGAAAAGAGATACTGAAAGAACCTGAGCTAAATTGGTGAAAATAGGAAAAAAAGGCACAGCAGTGGCTGGGGAAGTGAGGTAGTTAAGAGGAAAGAAAGTAACAATGAGTTAACCAAGGGGAGAAAGTATATGATGCATTATTTCATACAACATCATTGACAAAGTATGTCAATATCAGCAGATTCCTGGCTGGATCCGTGGCAGCCCTGCAGCTCCATCCTTCCAGCCCATGGTGGGGGAGCTGCAGCCAGCTTTGTTTCACTCACCAGGCGAGGAGCTGCATCGTGGGGCCCTTGTTAAAGTCCTAGAGTGGTTTAAGCAGCTTAAACTGCTTTATAAGCTTACAGTATCTAAGCCTTCAAAGCTGCTTAAAGCTATTTAAGCCGCTTAAGACACTTTAGTCTGTTGGCGTGTGCAATGGGGCTGTACCAACACCCTGGCCGGCAAAGCAAAGAGTCCACCTTGATATTTACAGCCCCAGCAATGAAATCACCTCACTGGGGCTGCCCTGAGCAAGCTCAGTTCAGCTGAGTTCTCTCCCCTTGGGTCACAGAATCACAGAAGAGCTCGGTTTGGAAGAGACCTTTAAAGGTCATTAACCCCAGCTCCCACTGTCCAATTGTCCCTCCCTGTACTTTGAGATTAAGGCTGCCCTTGACACCTGACATGTTTGTACCAGGGTCTTTGAAATTCTGCAAGTTTTTTACTGCCATGGATCCAAGGGTGAGGTACCTAATGATATACCTGATGCAAGGCACATGTATTCTGTCAGTATTCATCCATTTGCACAGCAAAATTCATAAGCTCCAGTGGTTTTCTTATAAGAAAGAAAGTTCTTGTGCAGTATGAAATCCTTATTCTGGTCTCTAAATGTCCTGTATAGTTTTAAAAGAACAAAAGAACCAGTGGATATTCACTGAAGTATCTCGGGTTTGTTGTTGCTGAAATAGCTCCCGAGGTATTAAAGAGCCTTTTTTCCCAACCCTGCAACTGAAGAAAAAGTTGGGATTCCTTGGCTCTGGTTTTCAAGGTTGTTTATTTTCTCTTATCTATAACATTCTTTCTCTTACCCACTGAGATCTGTCTGGCAGGTCAGTTCATGGCACACTGACCGCCCTCAGGGTGGTGTTATCTTTTTGTACTGAGAACTTTGTGTACTTTATTTACAATAATTTTCCAATACCTATCACCTATGTTAGACAGTTTGTCTCTACTCTAAACCAATCCAAAAGTGCCACCATCACAGCAGAAGATGGAGGACAAGAAGAAGAAGGACAGGACATGCCCAGATTCCTCCATCTTGCCTCTTGAACCCCCATTCTAAAAACCCCAAAATATCTACTTTTTCACCCTGTGATAAATTCACTATCATTCTATTCAAACCCTTGTAGCTTGTAATTCTTCGCACAAAGTTGGTAACTTTTTCCATGGGCTAAAATCAAAGGCACAGGTGTTTTTGATTCTGTGCCAAGGTCTCTGAGCCCCCTGCCAGGGTCTCAAGTCCTCCAGGGCAGACAGAGGAATGCCCTGGGCTCCAACAGAAGTATAGCCTATAAACACTGACATGAAATATTTACAAATTTCTGGAAAGTCATAACCCTGATCCTATCTTTGAGGATCATCTTTTGCTAGATTAAAATAAAAATGGTGACTGAAAACACAGTTTACTGTCATATTTTGGTTAACACTACAGTCCACTCTGATGAGCACAGATTTCTCAAGAAGACATTTTTGAGACAATTTTTTTCATATTAAGTAGTGACTAGAATTTGTCAGAAGTTTTATATGGGTTTGAATTTCTAACAAAGAGCATATTTTCTGAAAAAAACTTAGTTTTAAATAGTAAAAAAATGAAATGGAAAAATAAATGGGTTTGCTCAGTTTTCCTTTGTATGATTTTAAAGAGATTTATTTTGAGCTAACATAAAAAATATCATATTGCAGAATGCTATTTTACTTGTACAGTAATTTTTGTTGGCATTTTCTTGTGTATATGAGGATTCTGTGCTCCCCTAGCTAAGATACACACACCCACATATATATATATATATATATATATATATATATATACACAAACACAGACACATACATACATACACATGTGTGGTGCACCATGACTGCAACATTTTGGGTTTTGAATGTTGAAATGCTCAGTTATAATTCAAGCCCTTAAAACTTTCCAAGCTTTTCAAAACACTTTTTTTTCTCTTTCCCATTCTTCCAATTTTCCAAAATAGAGAAATGTCCTAAAACTTTGAATAGAAAGAAATACTAAAACAGAATTTCTCTCAGGTTGAGAAGCCTGCACTTGTTAGTTTTACTGACGTCTATATCTGTGCTGTTGTTTTGCCGACTCACTGGCATGAAAACAAGATGTTGTCCTTTTCCATTGGCAAAGATTATTTGATCTGTGTTTATTCTGGATATGTTTGTTTAATTCCTCATTTGAGCACAGTCATAAATTATTAGGTCATTACTGCCCTGGGAAAAGAGCTAGTTTAATAATTAACTTGTGCTTGCAAAACTCTTCAACAGCTCAGAAAAATACAGTAGCTTGCACATGAATCATAGAAGTACAGATTTGGATAGAATCTCAAGGGGTTATGTAGCTTGTTATTCCTCAACATTTTTAATCAAAGCTGTACCAAGCCTTCCTGAAGTAAAATAAAAACAAACCAAAAACGCCACAACACCAAATCAAAGGAAAAATGCTTAAAAAGTACTAAAGAACAACTTCTGCAATATTCCATAACAGCAATTGAATATGCTCAGAACCACACATGGAATTTTCAAATGCTTTCTTAGTGAAAATATGTTATGGATTACCTTGTGATAATTTGTATGCTCTCTCACAGTTCCAGTGATCTCAGCCACCTGCTACAAAACATGCACCTGGGCCATCTCCTAGCTTCAAAGAAAGTCCACAACTGTCCTGATAAGTGCAGATGGCAGTCCCTCTGATTTGTATCTAAAATCAATAATGGCAAGTATTATACAACCTTCTTGGGTAATATATTCCAGCAGTAATCTTTTCTTCTAGTTAGAATGGGTTACTCTCTTATTTATTGTAGTATAGCTGAAAAAGGTTTCCATGACATTCTGTGTGTCATTAGTGGGCATCAAAAACCATAAAACTACCCTCTTTGTAACAGCCTTTTATGTACTCAAAGACTGTTGAACACCATATAACCATTATTATTATTATTATTATTATTATTATTATTATTATTATTATTATTATTACAAAACTAGAACTTGCAACCTTGCTTTATGTATCCAATTTTCCAATCTTCATCCTTGTTGATCTCTGGATTGCCTCCAGCTGATCTACATCTTTCTGAAATTATGGTGCCTCAGAGTAAAACAATATTTTAGCTGAGGCCTCACCAGTGCCCGGAAGACCACGCTAATTATCTCATCTTACATACACTGCCATGAGCAGACAAGTCAAGAAAATCTAGAATTACATTTATCTCTTTTCCTCAACAGCATCACACTGTTGGCTCATTGATGGCTCTCATTAATCACTAGATCTTTATCTGCAGTGGCATTTTGTGGTTATGTTTTTGATTTCATCCTCCCAAATGTAGCCCTCTGTGATCACCTTTGTTCAAAATTTCCATGTTGGATTTCACAACTTACCAGGATATTTTTGAATTCTAATTCTGTCCTTGAGCACATTAGGCAAATCTTTACATATTGTCACCTACCAAGCTCATAGGAATGTAATTATTTCTAATTCTGCCATCTAAATCTTCATTGAATGGTTAACAGAAGCCTACCCATTAGGAGCTGTGCAAGACATCTCCACGTGCAGCTACCAACCACCATGTATTAGGTTTACTTTTGACAGAGGATTGAATTAGGAGTGATTTCAAATGGAACAGCTTTCCCCAGTTCATTTATGAGCATGCAGAATGATGTCAAAAGCCTTACTCAGGTCAAGATACATCTTGGGTCTTACATACAGTAATTTGAAATGCTTTTCTTTATCTTTTGGACCAGTCGCCTTATTCAAGAAGGAATTCAGATTAGTTTGACAAATTCATGTTGGATGCTTCTTATCACCTTCTCATGGTGTGTATGAATTTACTTCTTAATAATTTGTCTCATTATCTTTCTCAGTATTGACATTAGGCAGAGCACTCTGTAATTCCCTAGGTTCTTTCTTCCCATTTTTAAAAGCAGGAATGGTTACAACCCTGCAAACAGCCAACAACTTCTAAATTGTGTCAAAATCTAAGCCTGCTATGAAGGCCAAATTTAAGAAAAAAAACTCACTAAATTTTTCTTTTCTTTTTTTTAAAACCTAGGTGCCATGATGGGAAGAATTAAGGAAGAGCAAGACTTTAAATCAAGTGCATGTTTGCTTTAAAATAATGTGCAAAATGTATATTATAATGTCAGATTTCTGCTAATTACCAAAAATTTAAAGTATGATGCTGACTGTATTTCCTTCTTAGGATACACAGTTGCTGTAGGCCCTGGTGACTTATCCAGTCCTTCAGGAACTTTCAGGGATAAGTCAAGAGCCCAGTAGGTATCAAGTGAATTTCAGCAAGCACTAGAGACTTGCGTACATCTCACTCATTCAAACATTTTTTACTTGTTTTTTACCTATTCTGGCATATATCATTCTGTTAAAAAAAAGAGCATTGTTAAGTACCTATCATTAATGCTTATGTGAATGTGAAGAAAGTAGCAAAATCAATAAAACTTTCCCTCAACTCTGAGTGTTTGTTATTTGTGCCTCTGCCCTTCTCTCCCTCTAACTTCTCAGTATTTATAGAATCTCTCTTTCTTCCATTTTATGCTCCAGGAAACTTATAACTCATTTTGCAACTGATTCTTTCTACATTTATCCCTAGATGTTTTTGCCAGTGCTTTGATACCCATCTCACTTATATGCTTCGAGATTAAGAATAACAGACAACCACTTTGTCATAAAGCAGGATTGTATAAAACTCACTTGAATATTTACATGTTTCTTCTGTGTACAAGTTTTATGATCAATTAGACAGCCAGCCAGTAGGAGAGAGAAGGTAACCACACAAAACCAAGAAAAGTAGAGCTGATGTTTCTAGCTCTTATCACTGATCCCACACACATTCACAGCCCAGTTTTCTGGGCTGTACATCAAAGCACAGGTATTTATGGCTGGACTTACCCTTTGGTATGTGCTTTCCCATGGGAAGAAGAGCTGTTAATCAAGGTCAGGATTGCCCAAGCAGGCCACTGCTTCTACAATATGCCCTTGATTTCACTCTTTGTAGGATTTCCTTTTTGATATTCAAGTCACTGGAGGATTCCTTATGCAGATAAGCTGGCCTACCTTATCTGTCTTTCATGTCAGGATGGTTTGCTGGTGCACCTACAGCATGGTTTCACTTACAGGTTTCTTTTCCTTATAATTTCTTCACATGGGACAGTTCCTAGCAGCACCCTGATTTGCTGTGATGAACAGTGGTCAGGTTTTTTATTAGTTTCTTTTAAAATCAAAACCAAACCAGTGTGTTTCACCTGACAGTTTTCACATGAGAAAAATAATAGGCTTAAAATAGATAATATGTGGCTCTAAGCAACTTAATTATATCCCATTTTAAAAAATTACTTCGCCAATGAAAAAAGGCATGTCAGGGCTTCAGCATGATGATTTATGATTCTGTCATAATGACAGATGTTCTTCATGCATCTCTAACATTGTAATCTGGGATCAATGTGCTTTTTTTCACGTTTGCTGGTAAAAAGAAATGCACAATATAAATACATTATTATTTGTCTTCAAGGCCTTGTTCAGCATTAGCTTGGGAAATAGGTTTGGTTTTGAGACAAGTTCTATAGTAAAGCCACTGTAACAGTGATAGTGTACCACAAAAGCAGCACTGCAGTTGGACACTTACCCTTGCTGGACACTTAGCAGGCTGATATGCTCAAATCCAGGGAGGATCTGGCATGCTGCTGTGCTCCCTTGAGTCTTGGCAGACTTCAGCTAGGGTATCCATCTTCTCAGTTCATCCTGCAGACTGAGATTCCTGATCTCAAGTCCCCCTTGTCTGCATTCAGGATTTATTTCCCATACTCCTTGGCTGCAGAGAGCAGAGTTTGAGCCTAGTGGGAGAGAGAATCAGTGAAGCATGAACGGAGAAAGGCATTAACTCACAGAGGAAGAGAAGTGACAAACTGAACCAAAAAAGGAACTTCTTTCTGCCATTCCCCACCTCACACACTGCAGTTCAATAATCTTCCACCTCTAGCCCTTTCTTAGGTAGAATTATTCTTGGATCCTGTGTTTCTGCTTAGAGAACTGCTGAGAGAAGCTGAAGGGCCACAACTTTAGTTCAGTGAAGCAGTGGAGTGACAGTGACAGGAATATCTGTACACATCTTTTTTGAAGTTTTGATGGGTCAGTGAAATTACAGCAAAGTTCTCTACCAGTCCATCTTCGGGATTGCACTTCTTCACAGCATGGCCACACTGGTCACAGCTTGTGGGACAAACATAACTGAGGTTCAGAGCTTCTGCAAACCATATCTCATCTTGCTGCAACAGCTTCTATGGGTTTCTGGTTGTGAGGGTATATCTCTGCAGTCCAGATCTCTGCCACACTTGCATTTATTGGTTAGTCTTGCTCAGCTCCAGGTTCTCAGAAAAAGGTGCAGAGAACCATCTTCCACAATATGAAGAAGTTACAGGAAAATTCCTTTTGCCAGATATGATTTTATAGCCTATCTTCACTAGGAAAAAAAGTGTGGTCAGCTATAGATTCACCCTTAAAAACATAGTGAAATACTGCATCAAAGAATATTCGTTAACAGTGAACTCACTTGGCTGGTGCCATTTTTATGAGCTTTTTGATAAGATAGGCTTGGGGAAGAATCAAAAACAGAGAATGTCTGTACTGAAAAGAAAAGGGTGTTAATTCATCTTTCAGATCCCTACTTTTCACAAATGTAAGAAACAGGTGCAATCATCAACAGGCAAGGCAAACCCTACACTTAAGACTGCTTTCATGATTATTATCAACAGAGGATGACATTGTTACATTCTGGGGTTTCCTGAAAGCTGCATCACATATTAAACTAACCCAAGCCTGCACTGCTAGTTTTACTACATTAGTAGTAGGATGCATGGTAAGAAAAAGGAGATCTACTCTAGAAGATGTCTAAAGCCTCCACAAAGATTAAATTTCATTAACAAAGGGTGTAGTTTGGACAGGGTCCCAACAGAAACAAAATGAACTGTGTGTGCTAAGAGATGCTGAGGCTATTCTGGGAGCCAGAGAGGCACAAGAGTGGATCTCCACTGCTGCTGAAAACCCCTGACCATCATCTCAACCAGCTCCCCAGCTTCCAGACCCCAGCTGGTGCTCAGGACACAGGTAGAGAGCAAGGGCAGGAAGTTTGTTTCCAGCTGTATCTGCTCATCTGGCCATGGTTTGAGATACCCAACCACAAGCTAAACTTAGCAATACAAGCACATGAAAGAAAATTGCTCACATGAAAGCTAAAATAGAGCTCATTTTCAAGGTAGTATGGCCTGTCCATGGCAGTTCTGCAGAGCTTCAGATACTGCAAGGTTGAGGGCTCAGTCTATTCTTCAGGGTTTAGGAAATCAACAAAAGTTAATCTTTAGACAGATGACATGCAAATAATTCAACATTATGGTGCAAATACAGAAATCAAGTTTCACACTTGGTTACTATTTTCTTACTTCCTCAGAGCTACAGATCTTTCAATTCATTTGGTCTTTAAAGAAAGAAGCATATGACATTGCTCAAAGATTTACACTTAGAAAATAAATGCATTTTTCAGCTACTACACAAACTTATTTGGGCTTGAAATATTTACAACGTGGTAGAAAAGCAAAGTAGAGAATGTTCTTTGTATTTTTGCAAAGCTGTCCTGTTAACAAAATGTTCTTTCTAGTTTTCTCCATTTTGCAGAAAGCCAGGAACAATAGCAGTAATCATATTCTTTCTTTTTAATCATATGCCTTTCAATAATACCCTTAAGGAAAAAAAAAAATTCTTGGTCATGGTCATGAAGACATATTCATGCACTTCTAAGGTACAGTCATTCTGTTAACTTCAGTAATTTACTTCATAGCAATAGGGTAGTTTTGAAGAAAATACACAGACTGTACCCACAAAACCACATATTAACTGGTTTCTCAAAGTGATGTTGGTGTGCACAAAGCAGATTCCTGTTGCATGAAACCAGAACTCTACAGCATTCCAACTCAATGGAGTAATTGGTCCCAAATCCTCATGTGGACTTCCCATGACAAGAAGCTCCAGTATGTGGTTAAGGTGCAGGCATCCCCCAAAGCTGTCAGACCCTGAAGAGAGGTCCCAAAGCTTGAAGGAAGGTGCACAGTGGGGTACTGCATGTATGTTCCTCCTTGCTGCCAACTGCCCTTCCTCAATCAATTTAGCAGTGTCTATCCCTCCTGCTTTATCCTGTTAACTGAATTTCAGAAATAAAACCTTCTTTTCTCACTTTCCCTGCCTTTTGCTGCTGAATCCATCTTTTTTGTATTATCTTTCTTTTCCCCACACTCCAGTCTCCACTACCACACTGGAAGCACCCTCTTACACCTGCCAAAACACTCAGGTAATTGCAGACTGGAATTGGAAATTACATTTCCAACAAACGTGTGCCATGACAGAAAGAGGAGTTTTTCAAGGGGCAGGAAAACCCAGTGGCACTCAGAGGTGGAGCAAAGCCTTATGTGTGTAGATGTAGCTGCAGTAGGCTGGAAGTACAAGAATAAGATAAGAATCTTATCAAGCTTTGGAGATCAAAGCCTTGAAGAGTTCAGATGTCACCCACAGCATTACTAAGGACAAAATTTCCAAATCCTCTTGCCCTGTGGTGTACCTGCTCTCCTCAAAGGAATTGGTGGCCAAGGAGTAATGGTCAGAGGCTGCAAGACTAAAGGATGGCAGGCATTTGGACATGGCTCTGGGTTCTGAAATCTCATCTGAGGATGGTGAAAATATGACACTAACTTACAGAGGACGGTCTTGATGATGCTCTTCAGCATTCAAAAGTCCTGCACCCACCTCAGGTTATCCTGTCTATCTGTCACAATCAGCACAGTCCCAATTGTTACATATATTTTAAAATTTGTATCCTATATTCAGAAAATGCTGCAGCATTTGAGTCTCAACAAATATTATGGAAGGACAGTGGCATTTTTATGCTCTTCCAGACCAACATCATTGAACTGCTCAAACATGATCTTCACCAAGCATTGCAAATACTCTTAGAAAAACACTGCCACTACAATATTTGGTCAGACACATGACTGGTCTGGTCCAATACGTAGTCTCAGAGCACAGTAATGCCAAATATCCATGAGCAATTCTCGTGACTCAACTGTTATTTTCAATAATTGGGGGTGGCTGAATATACATTATTGGAATTTAGTCAGGCAGTGATGATGATCAAGCATTTCTCCATTAAGTTGTTAGCTCTGATGCAATTAAAAATGTTAACCACATGTGCATTTCTTTTTAATTACATGTTTAACCCAACAAATTATTGAAACAACAAAAACTGAGAAAATAGCCCAATTTTTTTTTTAAATATTTTGATTTTTAAACTCTAAGGATGCTAATCTAGGAAGATTACTCACCATCTTCCTCAATCATTTATTTCCATGTTTACTTGCTTTCTGGAGAAGTGCACATAAACACTCACTAGAAATGCTACAGCCTACTACAGTCCTGCTCTAAGAGAATCCTCCAGTGAGACTTTGCTACAAATGCAAAAAAATTCAGACAGAAGTTGTGTAACTGTGAGATAATGTTGCAATTCTTTTCACCACTCCGGATTGATAAGAAATCGGGTGCCTTTTATTGCCAATTATTCCTAAATATGGGATATAGGAAAAAAGATTTGTTATAAATTTTAAAATATTAAAAGGACTTAATCTCTTTTTCTCTGTTCCCTGGATGGAATGGAGCTGGCATGCTCAGAGACCTTTTTTCCTTCATAATTTTTTGAGTATGAGGAGAGGCTCATTGCATACTAGTGGAAATGCAAACACTTCGTTTGAGATAATTAGTTTAATTTTGCAGACTGGCTTCCTTTTGAGGTCTCTTCATTAACCCAGCAGCCACAGCCAGCCTCTGCACATCCTGTGCCCCTCATCAAAATGTGTTTTCCTCAGCCTGCAGCCCAGCACCTACAGCTCATTCTCCTGGGGTATTATGCATCTCCTCAGCAGCCTCTTTGTATGCGCTGCCCATATCTACACCAAGCCGCTCCCTCTGTACCCTTTTCTTTCTCATCCTTTGTTGAAGCCTGCATTTATTTTCAAAGACTCCTCTACTCAGCCTTTTATGTGCAGTGCTTTAAATCCTTTTATTCCCCTGAGCATTCCCAGCTATCCATTCTTTCTCAGAGAGGGAGGTGGATCTTCCTTGAAGTCATTGTTCAGGGAAAGAAGACTAGGCTCCATTATTTGATTGATTTCACAAGTCATTTAAATGAATGGTATGTAGGCACAACTAGCAAATGCTTGTTAAAATGGTTAATTTGATAATTTCTTTTCTGTGATAGCGGGAGAACAAAAAAATTACAAAATGAGTAGCTGAGCAAAATGGCAAGAATTATGTTTAGTCCTTTGAAATAATATTAAATGACAACATAAATCCTGTAGAAATACTTATGGGATATTACTATATCTACCAAGAGTTCATTATATCTTACATTATTAGAATGAAAGACAAAGAAATGAGTGAATATATTATGATGTTAAAGCTGCACCAATTTTTATTTAAGCAATCGCATTACTAGCAGTGCAGCGTGCCAGAAAAATTACTGGTTCAGTGACAAAAATCCTTTACTATTACAAAGCCTCTTTTAGGGTAATTAGCAACAGGACAGAAAATAAGATATAAAATATCTTTAAATGTAGGAAAAATGGGAAATTATTCTGATGATCTAAATTTGCTTTAAGCACTTGCTTGTATGATAAAATCACTATAATGATATATCTAACTTAGTGGTCTTCACGCAGAAAAGGTTGAACTCTTAAGTAGAGTAATAAGACAGGAAAGACAAAGCTCTTGAAATAAGATCTTGACATGATCTGCGGCA